ATATTCAGGCAAGGAAAGAGAAGAATATTACTTTTCAGACCTCAGAGAAGAAAGGACTTAATTTTGAAAAATAATAGGCATTATAGCAGGGGCTACAGCAGAAGACGACACACGGGCTAGAAAGCAAATGCTGGTCATGAATGGCAAACTTCCTCTCTGTTCTCTTCTTTATGTCCCTCAGGAGCAAGACCTTGTAATTTCTACACCTCTCAATATGGTCTCACATTTCATATCCATTATAAATTCAGGATAAGTCAGGTAACACACTCATTGGAAATAAATTAGAAATAGTGTCTGCCAATTCTTTGCCAGACATTGCACTAAGTATATATGTATGTAATTATATTTAAACCTCACCAAATCATGTTGAATATCTTAGAGAACTAACCTGTCTAGGATGATACAATAAGCAAGCATCATAATCAAATTCTAAACCAGGTCTATCAATTTTACCACCATAATCTCTCATATAATGGTCTAAACAAAAACTGAAAATTCCAGGGAGAAGGTAATCATAATTTGGAAAGAATTCAACTAATCATATACATAGTTCCTGTCATAATTTCTGTGTCATCAGTGCCCAGTCAGAAATGTTATACAACCATATCATATATATATATATATGATATTTCACTATTATATTCAACAGCATATTATTTACTACTGATAGAACTCATAAGTTGATTGAGGGTAATTAAGAGAGTTGAACTATCAAACAAAACACAACTTGAAAACGTCTGTGGGAACACAATGCCTATCTTAATCTAAAGATAAATGCTCTCCCTTCTATGAAATTCAAGTAGAGTTGCATTTCTTGCCTTAATTAGAATGCAGGACTGAACTAATGCTTAGTCTGTCACTGACGAATTCTAAATGATGAACTTAAACATATTATACATCACCTTGGTTGAGGTGGAAATTTCCTCAAAGTTCATAAAAAAAACAATATCAAGATCACAGTGTAAGGGCCATGTTATATGTTATAGTGTCTAATATAATGGCAGAACTGATAAGGTATAAAGGTAATAGCCAATATTTATTGATCACTTATTGTGTGCCAGACACTAGAACCATACATGCATTATATTAATCCACACAACACTCACTTACACTCTCTACTTATACCCATTTTACAGAAAAATGGAAGTTTTATGTGATCAAAGGAGCCCAAATCCTGAAACATGGAAATGTTTTAAGATTTGGATGTTAAAACTACTTTTAGGGGCCTCTCCGGTGGCACAACAGTTGAGCACTGGGTTGCGAAGCTGCCCGCAGCCTCTGCAGCGCCAGTTCGATCCCCGACTGCTGGACGAGGGTTCCACATGGCACACAGACCTCTCCTGCAGCCCGCTGCTCCCCTCAGCAGTGTACCTCATCAGTCTCCCTGCTCTGCTCCCTGCTCTGGCTCCTGTGAATTCTCTTACCCTCCTGCACTACTGACTGTACCCAGTGCTTGTATAAATAAATAAATAAATCTTTAAAAAAAAATCTACTTTTAAAAATACATTTATATGGAACCACAAAAGACCCTGAGTAGCTAAAGCGATCCTAGGGAAAAAAAGAAGAAAAATGGAAGCATCATGTTACTTAACTTCAAGCTACACTACAAAGCAACAGTCAGTGAAACAGTTTAACACTGGGGGGAAAAAATAGACACATGGATCAATGGAATGGATCAAGAGCCCAGAAACAAACCCATACATACATCAACACTTAATCTATGATACAACATGAGGAATGAAAATCTTTTCAACAAATGTGTTGGGAAAACTGAACAGTCACATACAAAAGAATAAAATTGGATCACTCTTTAACTAAATACATAAAAATAAATTCAAAGTAGATTAAACGACTGGATGTAAGGCCTGAAACCATAAAAGACATAAGAAAATATAGGTGATACATGCCACATGTCAGTGTTAGAGCTGTCCTTAGGGCTCAAACCAAACAGCAAGGGAAATAAAAACAAAAATTAACAAATAATACTACATCAAAATAAACTGCTACTGCACAGTGTAAAAAAATACCAGCAGAATAAAAAGTCAGCCTACTGAATGGGAACAGATATTTGCACGTCATACATCAAACTAGGAGTTAATATCCAAATGCAACTAACAACAGCAAAAAACAAACAACCTGCTTTGAAAATGGGCAAATCTGAAAAGATGCTTCTTCCTAAGAGGATGTACAAAAAAAAAAAAAAATGCCCAGGACACGATAGCCAGCAGACACATGAAAAAATGCTTAATATCATTTATTATTAGGGAAAAACCACAGTGAGAGATCAACTCACACCTGTGAGATAGGCTCACATTAAAAAAAAAAAAAAAACTTGTAACAACAAATGTTTTTGAGGGTGTAGAGAAAAATAAATATTCATATACAATTGGTGGGAACAGAAATAGGTACAATCATTTGAAAAACGCTATCTGATCATTCCTCAAAATAACTAAAAATAGAACTATCATTCAATTCAGCGATCTTCTTGGAATCCACTCACACAATATGAAATCATTAACTCTAGATGTTGTATGCACCATAATGTGTACTGCATCACTATTTATAATAACTAAGATAGAAACAGCCGAAGTGTCGACTGACAGATGATTGGATCAAGAAGACATGAGCCACATACAATGGAATACTATTTACCTGTTTGAAAAATTAAAATTTGCCACTTGAAGTGGCAAAGTGAAAGGAACTTGAGGAGATTGTGTGAAGTAAAATAAATCAGAAAAAGAAAGACATATTAATGTATGATTTCACCTATGTATGCAATATAAGAAAAATGTATGCAATATAAGACAAATTAATGTATGATTTCACCTATGTATACAATAGAAGAAAGTAAAACAGATGAGTGGACAAAAGAAAATAAAAATAAAACAGAAGAATTTACACAGCAGTTGAGGTTACTAGAGTGGAAGAAGAGGAGGAAGAGGGTAGAAGCAAGGGTAGAAGAAGAGCTAATCTAATGTAATGCTTTCTTAATAAATTTTTAAAAATAAATCCTAAAAATGAAGGATTTGAAGGCAAGGGGGAACATGTTTTTAGGTCCCCGACACTACATCACTTTCATAACATTAAGAATATGAATTACATTTCTGATGCTTCTAAACGGTGTCTGACTTCTCCAAGAGGAAATGTAAATGGCCAACAGGTATATAAAAAAATGCTCATCATCACTTATAATCAGGGAAATGCAAATCAAAATCACAATGAGATATCACCTCACACCTGTGGGAATGACTCACATTTAAAAAAAAAACAACAAAAACTGACAACAAATGCTGGTGAAGATGTGGAGAAAAAGGAACCCTATTACATTACTAGTGGGAATGCAAACTGGTCCAACCTTTAAAGTGTGGGAACCCTCAAATATTAAAAGTGGATCTACCATATGAACCATAAATTTCACTCCAAGGATTCCACCTATAGGACACAAAAACATTAATTCGAAAGGAAACCTGCACCTCTATTATTTACTGCAGCATTATTTGCAATGGCTAAAATATAAAAACAACCTAAATGGCCCAAAACACACAAACAGATCAAGAACATGTGGCATATATACACAGTGGAATACTACTCAGCAATCAAAAAAGATAAACTCAGCCCATTCACCACAACATGGATGGAGCTGGAAGGATTATGCTCAGTGAAGTAAGTCAGAAAACAAAAATGAAGGAAAAAGGAAGGAAGGAAAAAGAAAACTATCAGATCATACTACTCATAGAAGGAATATAGGCAAATCATACAAAGGGTCAAAACTTGTAGACAACTATAGATCTGAGGCTCAAAGCAGGGGAGAGGGAGGAAACAGGATCAAAACAGAGAGGGAAGAGCACAAAGGGCCATTGTGATGGTTTACGGGTGATGTGGTGATAGACTAAAGGGGGACTACACCTGAAGGTAGAAATCAAATACTGTCCAAACATGAACAACAATGTAAGAAAATCAATTAAAAATAAATAAAAGTTGTCTGTCCAGGGGCCTCCCTGGTGGCACAGGTAGTTAAGCACAGTGCTGTGAAGCTGTCTGCAATCCCTGCCAATCCCGGCTGGCCAGGGAGATACCCCCATGGTGTGGTAGAACTCTCCTGTCTTGCCTGCTGCTCCCCTCAGCAGTGTATTTCAGTCAGTCTGCCTGTTCTGTTCCCCACTATGTCTCTGGTGAATCCTCTCACCCTCCCACACATCTGGCCTGTACCCCAGTTCTTGTATGCATGAATAAATATAAATCTTAAAAAAAAAAAAGTTGTCTGTCCAGAAAAGAAGGTAAGATTTGGGCACAAGTATGATTATTGGGGAACAAATTGGGGAAATAAAACAGTGTCATTTATTCAAACTCATGTCTCCTTCCTCTGAGGGATTATCTTCTGTTCATATTGCACATGAAATAATCAAATAATTATTACAGACAGAAGGATATGTTAATGCACTGCCCATAAAACCCATTGTAAGCTTCCTATCATTAAGAACATCATCAATGAATCTGTTTCCTCTCATTTCTTGGTCAGTCACCTTTTTAGGAGTTCTTGTCTAGAATTCCTAATTTAAAAATTAAGTACTTATACTTGAAGTACTCTCCTGAACATATATATTCTTTGTCTTGCTCCCACTCTCTCTGAAGATTTTTTTTTTTTACTTTAGAGTCTGCCCAGGTCTCACAAGTTAGCCATTATACACTGCACTGTGTGCATATTGACTTCTAAACTGCAAACTGTTTGGACAAAGGAAACTGCAAACTGTTCCTTACACAAAGGAAATAGAAGGTTTGACTTGCTTCTGATTTCCCACTTTCCCTCCATTGTAATTTTAATTCAACCCTTGCTGTACCCTGAGCTTCTAATCAAAGTTGCCATTTGAACTGTAAAGTGCTCCTAGGAAGGCATACAGCAATAATTGAATAGTGAATAAGTTTCACAAAGCACAGAGGAAAAAAGAGGATGAAGTCATTTAGGAATAATTAAAATGATAACACTTACTGACTTTACCTACCCTCTTGTTACTTTTACATGAAATAATTCATTAAATTCACAAAACTATTTCATGAGGAAGATCAGTACTATTATCTCCACCTAAAAGAAAAAGAAATTGAGGCAGAGTAACTTCTCAAAATTATTCGACTAAGTAATTAGTGGAGTCAATACTTAAACCCAGAGTTTGGCTCTAAAATCAGCTACATAGCCACACATTGCACTGCCTCTCATTTTTCACTTACAGCATTAGCAAGTTCAACTAATATTTGAACATGTGTCATACTAACAAATAATATACTAAATAATCTTATCAGTAAGTGTGGTATTAAAAACTCAAATTCATCAGCCCTGTTTATGACTGATAAAAGAAATGCAAATGCTTAGATCTAGAAATTCAAATAAATTGCAAAGGTTTGAGTATATTTTAATTTTAAAATATAATTTATACTGGAACATTATTCTTTTGTGTTAGTTTCAATGTAAGTAAGTTTTTAGGTAAAAAATAATAGAGCATAAAATGCTGCACTCTAATTTATTTCACCTTGTTTCCTTAAACAATGATGGGATGGCATAAATAACTAATAATAAATGTATAAATTAATGCAAAGAAAAGAATATATAAAGAATTTATGAAACAAAAACCTAAGCAGAATTTATTCATTTGTCAACCAATATTATTAATTGAGTACCTAGAATGTTCACACAGCATGCCAGAGGACTGATAAGAAAAACATAACCCTTGAGAATTTCTCTGTCAAAAGGAAGAAGTTTCAAAATTAAAATAAACATTAAGAGCTATTATAGAAGTATGTTGTAGAGCTATGGAAACCAAGAAAATGGAGCTTGATTTTTGTTGGGTATGAAAATGTCCAGAAAAGCCTTCCCAGAATTGGTGACGATGTAAATGGATATGACTTACCTAATCAGAAATTGAGTATTCGCATAGAGTATTCCATCCAGAGGAAACTCATGAAATGACTCTGGCTTGTTCAAGGAATAACTAGTCTCAGATTCAGAGACAGGAAATGAGATTGGTAGAACTATAACAATTTTTTTATCATAAAAAAATAAAAATAATAAATTTGGGTTTTACAGAAGAACCCACAGATGCATGTAAGCAGAAGGGAGACATGTCTAATCTACTTTAGAAAACTCACTCCGATGTCAGTGTGTCTGACGCATTACCAGCAGCGATAGTGCTGCACCAGAGGCCCAAAAGGAGGTAACTGCAATGGCTTAGCTGAAAGATAATAAGGGTCTGGGCCAGGACAGCACTGGTCAAGTGAAGTCTCAATGGGGAGATGGTTTGCCTCAGCTTCTTTCCTCTCAAAATTCTCCCAAAATGTTGAAAAAGGAAAGTGACTTACAACACACTGAACAAGAACACAAATTCCCTCTAGAGTAGTGTGCTCCTGGAGTCAGTTACTTGTAGTCAGTTGATGCCAGATTTTTAAGATGAAATAGCTAAAAATCTATCAAGTACAATTCTAGAGCTCTTTTCACTATTGAAAAACAAATTAAGCAGTAACAATATCAGAAGTAAAATTCCACCACATTAAATAGGAAATTGCTAATGAAAAATGGAGTCAACTGTCCAAGCTAATGATCGTATAAACATGCCTAGTAGCATAGTCAATATACACACTTGTTTGATTTTATATCTACACCATATAAGCATGTTGCCACCTTGTTCCTTTCAGCATTCTTTTTTTTTTTTTTTTTTTTTTTTAATTTTCTAGAGGCATGTCTTATTTATCTATTTGTTTGTTTGTTTGGTTTATACATGCACTGGGTACAGTCAGAAGCCGGGAGGGCGAGAGAATTCACCAGAGCCAGAGCGGGGAGCAGAGCAGGCAGAAGGACCGAAGTACACTGCTGAGGGGAGCAGCGGGCGGCAGGAGAGGTCTGCGCGCCATGTGGGACCCTCCTTCGGTGGCCGGGGAGCAGCCGGGGATCGAACCGGCGCCGCAGAGGCCGCGGGCAGCTTCGCAACCCAGCGCTCAACCGCTGCGCCACCTGGGAGGCCCACCTTTCAGCATTCTTAAAGCTACTTTAAGAACCTTTTTATAATTGTGTAACAGGAATATGTACATGTAATATAGAATGACTTGAAGTCTCATTTCATATAGCATGTAATCCATGTGGTTTAAAGTCAAATTTTTCATTAAATTTTACAAATCTTGGATTTCACTTATTCCAAATGAAGTTTATGAAATGTGGGATACTTTGAATTTTTTTAATTTTTAGCACAGATTATCTTACACTGAGCTTTAAAACATTAATCTTGCCTTGAAGTTTAAGTCAGTCAGAACCAACATATTGCTTTAAACAATAAAATCTCATGGAATTCTATCTTGTACTATTTGACCCTTTTCCCTAAACTACTTACATTACTATTGTCTTTTGTAAATGTTCAAACAATTACAAGTTTCACTTTTGCACTGAATATGGCTCTTTGAAAGACAAGATTTCAATATCTTACATAATGCTTAATTAAGTAGCATAATAGTATACATTTTAAATACTATTTTTGGCTAAATTCTCAATGTTTATTTAAAATTTATAAAAGGCTATAAATTCTATTTGAAATGAAACAGGCTTTGCAAAAATAAACTTATCTGAACACATCTCAACCCACCAGTAATATGCAAATACGTTTTTAACTCACTGATCTCTTAGGTCTGCCCTTTTACATATTACTATTATAAAGATCTTAAAAACACATTGAATTTAGAGACACTAAATTGCATTGCAATATTGCAACTGTATTTAAGTAGGAAACCATCACTGTATTATACAGAGGATGACGCCTTTTACTGCCTGAGCAAGGACAAGGTTCTAAGCCTGATGCAGACCAGCAGCAACAAGATCCCCATTTGGAACAGAGAATGGTGTGAGTTCTCCATGCCTATTCTTATTAACTTGTTCTACACAAAACATCTGCAATACCTCTATGCAGAGATCTTCAGTCACAAATTTGCCTTTTCTTCCTCTAGTTTTGCTGAATAAGCTGTGTATTACAGATCACTTCATTTCTATCTTCCCAAAATGATTAACAGGAAGGATGGCAGGAAAGAAGGGAGGGAGGGAGAAAGAGACACTTTCAGGGGGAAAAACCCCATATTTTAAGGAAAGTTTTCTATTACTTTCAAACACAGTTTTACCCACAGTTATAAATACCATTAGGAAATGAAGTGAATAATTGATTCTCACTTGGAAAAAGATTGCAAGAGGGATCTGTTTTGTAGAATTTTAATTTGGTAGAATTTTACATCCCTAATTCAGGAAAGTTCAGTTATGGTAGCCCACTAAAGAGAATACACAAAAGCAAATGTGTACATGGTTATGGGTTAGTGTATGTACATATGTGACCTTATCCCTTAAAATGTGCGTCTACATTGTATAAGAATTATTCACCATGTAAAGGTTCACCAAAATAATGTCTGAACGTTTTTCCAAAGAGGAAATGCAAACGGCCAACAGACATATGAAAAATATTCAACATCCCTTATAATCAGGGAAATGCAAATCAAAACCACATTGAGATACCACCCTACACCAGTAAGAAAGGCACATATCAAAAATACTAGCAACAACAAATGTTGGCAAGGATGCGGTGAAAAAGGAACTCTCTTACATTGCTGGTGGGAGTGCACCTGGTCCAACCACCATGGAAAGCTGTCAGGAGGTTCCTCAGTCTTCTAAAAATGGAGCTACCATATGACCCGGCAATTCCACTCCTAGTGATCTACCCATAGGACACAAAAACATTGATTCAAAAGAACACCTGTACCTCTATGTTTATTGCAGCACTATTTACAATAGATGAAAGCTGGAAACAACCCAGATGACCAAAAATAGATGACTGGATCAAGATGTGGCATATATACACAATGGAATATTACTCAGCAATCAAAAAAGATAAACTCATGCCATTCACAGCAATGTGGATGGAGTGAGAAGGAATTATGCTCAGTGAAATAAGCCAGAAGGAAAAAGAAAAATATCACATGGTTTCACTTATAGCAGGAATATAGGGGGACCAAATAAGACATCAGTGTAAAAAAATAATAACAGTACAAAACACAACAAAGCAAAAATGGACAATTATAAATCAGAGACATACTGCAGGGGAGGAGGCCGGAGAGAGATCAGAGGGAGGGAGGGAGGGAGGAGCACAGGGGACTGAGGTGATGGAGCACGAGTGCATTGGTGAAGGAAACTATGGGGACTACACCTGACGGGGCTGGAAGGAAGCAAATATTGTTTAAAAATGAACAATGAATAATAAAAATAATAATAATACGGTGCTTATTTTCAGTTTGTGTTCAAAGAGAAGTTCATGAAAAGCTCAGGAACCTGCAAGTTTAGGGAAGACCTAAACCCAATAGGATTATAAGGTACCCACAAGCAAATCAAAAACAGAAGAAAGCAACAGGCTTTCAAGGTAAATTTTATTTTTCATTTCTTTTCCCTTTTGCCTTCCCACACCTGAGGAAAACTCTGATGCTGATTAAGAAAAGCTATAGGAACCACTGCTGAGGAGTTTGCTCTTACGCTATATGCTAATATGACATAATTGTAATGTTGAGCTAGTATTTTTAATTTATTGTCAAAATCTTAACCTAATTTTAAAAAATGCTTGTTTGGGGCCTCCCCTGGTGGCGCAGCGGTTGAGCGCTGGGCTGCGAAGCTGCCTGCAGCCTCTGCAGTGCTGGTTCGATCCCCAGCAGCCAGCGAGGGTCCCACATACCGCGCAGACCTCTCCTGCCTCCCACTGCTCCCCTCAGCAGTGTATTTCGTCAGTCTGCCTGTTCTGTTCACCGCTCTGGCTCTGGTGAATTCTCTTACCCTCCCACACTTCTGACTGTACCCAGTGCTTATATGAATAAATAAATATTTTTTTAAAAATACTTGTTTTTCTTGCCTCTGGAACCCATAGATCTTGGTAGAGAATAGATCCTATTCATCTTCATCCTAGAATTATTGCCTAATCCTCAGCATATAACAGATACTCAATAAATATTTGTTGAATGAATAATGGTTTGGAAAAAATTCCAAAGAGAAAACATATATATTAACAAGCAACTTATCTGTGT